ACCATAAATGTTGCTCGTCTCTTATGAATTGTGCTTTTAGTCACAAGTCCTCACCAAAGGAATTATATTATAGTGATCACTCAGTACAGGTTTCTGGGTCATCCCTATATTCTTTTTATTCTCCTTGATGAAGTCTGTAAAACAGATTTTCTCACAGAAGCTTTATAACTTGTAACTGAGAACATTAACTTCTGTAAAACAAGTCTGTATATAACTTCAAAATATTATTTGCTACTCATCTTCCTCATATGGCAGCTTTGTACTTGAGAAGGCTGTCTAGAATCTGAACAAGAAAATTTAAATAAAAGGGATCAGTTTTGAAGAGCTTCCCAATATTACATGGGTCCATAAATATTTATGAAATAGCCTCTAAACAGAAATTTCACAAACTTCCAAAGACTTAAGGACACACTTAAGATAATTCACAGAAGCATACTAGCCCCATTCAGATGGTGCCTCTGTGTGAGCCAGCAGATCAAATTTAGATATTTGAATATGAAAAAACTCTAGGAAGAAGCACTTTCTCTAGCATTCTTCTACACTATTTATAACCTATACTGACATAGGCTATCTAAATAAGAAGTGAACTTCAGCATGTTTCCCTTCCAACAGCCAATACAGAATTTGGGAAAAGAGTGAAAGAAAAAGAGAATCCAATTAATAAAGGAATCTGAAATATCCATATCTGAAAGCCCAGAAAAATGTCTCTAAGAGATTTAGTGAGAAGCAGTAGAAACAATGATTTTTCTTCTGTGAGTAAAACTCAAGCTTTAATAGTAGATGTGCAAGAAAAAGTTGTAAAATCAGCATTTTTATGAAATGTTGAGGTAATAAGCAAATGGGGAGATCACATCTACTATCACTACATCAAGATACTCCAAAGAAATGGATTTTCCAAGTGAGGAGAGGCAAACAAGAGATGCAGAGATAAAGCCATTTCTCATTCATCATCCGGGAGGGGGAGGCTGGGGGTGGAAGAAAGGGGTACCTTAAATAACAGTAACAAGAGTAACTGTGTAATAAATAAAATTATCAAATAAATTCATTACTAAATATTCTGTAAAATGACCAATTTAATCTGCCACTGAAGGAGTGCTCATCTGACCAGGTACTTGATTAATGACATCGACAGACACCCTCACTATTCCTAGATACAAAAGACGCTACCTAGTTTCTTTTTCCCCATTTGAAAGAAATTGTTGCAGCACTGGTTCCGTCCATCCTCACTTATCTAGACTTACCTTTGACAAGGAAGCAGAAAAGTGACTCAGGGCACATAATACACACGCATTTGTCATACACTACATGCTGTCAGATTATGGGTTTCTGTGACCAAATAACAACGTGTCACCTAACAAAATTGTCTGGATGTCTCAGAAGCATGTTCCATGTTTTTAAATGTTGTTAAGTATTGCACACATACTGACACAGAAGAAAGCATGAAAACATGGCCAGGACTTGACAGCTAAACTAGATTACAGATTTACAAAATTTCAGATAGCATTCAAAGAAGAAGGTGCTATCTGCACACTTCATACTGTGTCATATGGGAGGCAAGTTACTCCCACTTCTACCAGGGGTCAGGTTATTGCTGCTGAGTGTGCACACTGCTTGATCAATACTCCAGTTTACTCCATGCACTACTTTGTGCTTGGCAAAACAATCAAGACATTTAAAAAGTGTATTAACTTGAGTATAATGTTGTAATTCATATATCAATTAATATGCTACTATATAAAATATGTAATAAATATATAAATTAAAATTAATATCTATGACAACAGAGGTGCTCACTTTTGGTCACCGCCACAAACTAAGAAACAGTGGATCTCCTTGCATTTCATTTTTCTTCATAAAACATAAGAGTCAACTTAGCTCTTTTACTTTATAAGCATCAAAGTTGTAAAATATTATATGGCAGAATTAAATGTTTTAACATACTGAATGTTAATGAATGAATTAAATGAACAAATGTTAATGAATGAATTAAATGTTTTAACATACCCGCACAGCACCTGTGGAACAGGCTCCAACTTCTAAGAATTCAACATGTCACTAAGGATACAGCTGCCAGTGCAGCCATTTCCACTAATTCAATAGTGAGACTACATTTTTTGGCAGCAAATGTATACACTTAATAGTTCTATATAGTTTACTTCCAAATAGGTGTAAATCTTTATTGTCCTCTGCCTGTTTGCCCATTTTACATTTAGAGAAGTTCTTCAGTGACAACTTCTAAATAAATTGTGACATTAAAAAAAATATTTTTATTCCTTAAAGAGAACAGTAAAAATTATTTTTATTCAGTCTGAGCTCAGCTCTCTCCACTACAGGAGGAAGCAGGTTTAACTGAGTATCTATTTTTGTAACTATTTTGGTCATCCCACAGAGGAGCCATATATCCACCCCCCATCTTGCTACATGCCTGTATGTTTGTGTGCTTTTACCCTTAAGTGGTGCCCACCTTTAACAAACCATGTGTGCTGACAAAAATGCCATATTCAAACTGCCGAGTATCTTACATAATTATAATACAATTCAAACCCACATAATCAACAAAAAAATAGTTACTGTTCTTTAGTTAGAATGAAAAGATTCTAGCAACAGACTGAACACCTTTTGTTAACAAATGAGCAGACCGCAGCAAAACTGAAAAAAAAAAAAAAAAGTACAAAACCCAACTTCAAGACAGCGTATTTATCAACACAGTAGTTTCAGATCTGGTAAAACAGAATTTTCCACCTAGAAGTTTTGAGTCTTTAATGTTAAATATCATGTTCATAAACAGATACGTGGAATGACATTAAAGAAAGAAAATAAATCACTTCTACTCATTAAAATCAATACATTTCTGAGAGATTAAAATATATGATTATATAATTATGAAAAAATGAAAGAATGCTGAATAAGCACTGTTTTAAATATTTAGGTATTAACAATATAAGTTGATGACTGCTAAAGAATTTCTATGAAACAGTTAAAATTCGTAGAAGCTTTGTATTACTAAAATTGAGCCTTCTGTGTGACACTGATCTACCAACACACAGGAATATGTCCAGCAGTAAAACTAGAATGTTCATTGCTAGAACTCAGAGAAACACTGAGATCTGTTTGTATGCTTTAGAAGCTTAGAAAATATTGGTTTATATCTCACCCATATGTGTTCATAGCTTCCTTCTCAGATACTCAATAGTAAAAGTCACAGCTGAATTTGTTGCATTATTCCTCTGCCTGAAGCACACTTGGAAAGGGTCAGCTATAGCAATCTTTACAAGAAACAAGATAACTGAGTGCTTCTATATTCCACTAGATGGATATTCCTAAGAATATTCATGTACTCAAATGACAATGGGAACAGGTATTCTAAAACATTTTTTGGAACAGGCTTGTTTACCTGGAAATAATACAGCAAGATGTTAAAATTATGCAAAAATGATATATGAATTTGGAAAAAGCCACTAGAAAGGGAAATTACATAAAAACTAGCATGTTGCCACAAAAGCCAGCATCCTCTGTTCAACAAGTTGTGCTTTTGAGGGAGGTTTCTGGAAAAGATACCCTTTCCGTAAGCTTGGCTTACCAGGCAGTAGTTAATTCCAGTTCTTCTGCTAAGAATTTAAAACTCTGAGAGGAGGAAAAATAAACAAACAAACAAAGCACACCAACCTCCTATAGGACATCTTTGTAGCTTGGTCAGAAACTGCTCTTTATTTTGCTTCACTTACTTTGGGAGAGGAGGTCATAGAGGGGAGGAAGATTTCAAAGACTTAAAAGTTTTCTAAGCCATACCTTCTAAAATTAGAAATAGTGTGAAAACAAGTGCTTTGCAAAGATGACTTTGCAATGGGAACACTACTATGTCACTGATTTTCAGTATTTAAGCTTTGCCTTTTTCAAATTAAGGCACGTATGTGGAGAATCCTACCTATTCCCTGCCCCTCACTTCAAGAAAGAGGAATTGCTTCATCCACTACATCCTTGAAGAGCAAATCTTAAGCACTGCCTGTGGACAGAATGATAAACTTTAATCAAAGTTATTTAACAATCAGTACAGAACATCATGGAAGCACTGACATTTAAACCTACAATACAGCTTTTATACAGATAATTGTGCTTTACTGATATTAACTGAATGTACCTTTCTTACAAAATGTCCACACAAAATATGCCCACAGCTTCCACTACCTCCCTACCCCTTATTTTTAAAATCCAGTAGAGCAAGGAAAAGGTTCAGGAATCAAATGGATAACTTGAATGAGTAATCATAGTAGCTGTCCATCCAGCAGCAATGCTGCTTAAGTTTTCATTTCTACTCTATCCACTGCTATATGATTGGAAAGATCACAGACCTGCTCCATCTAGAAGGTAACAGAATGGGAAGGAGGGTGAATTTTTTTCCCCAAAGTGAACTAGTTCCCTCTTCTGAACCTCCACAAATCTTCCTGTAGACAGGACTACAACAGAAAAAGAGCTAGTTAACTTGACACCACAATGGTGGAAATAACCCTTGGAACTACAGCTCAGCAATCAATTCTTTCTGGATGATATTCCACATGGCATGCAACTTTTTTTTCTCTACTCTATTTCTAGAATTCTAACAGTCCAAAGAAGCAAGTAAAAACAAAAGCAAATAAACTTCCCACTTCTTCTGTGGTTTCAGTTTTACAAATTCATGTAAGTCACATTTCTTCAGCTATATTAAAATGTTAACTGCTCAGATGGAACAGCAAAGTGTGCACAAAATCTGCAGACCTTTGATTCAGCTGGGCATATACAAACAAACTAAGTAAAACTAATCTGATGTTACAATTCATTTATTGTATTCTTAAAAGAAGAAAAAGATCAACTCATTTTTTCCTAATTAGAGGAAATTCTACCTGCCTAGAATAAGTTTTCTTTAAGAAGTCTTAATGCATCCCTGAAATACAAGCACATTTACATGTCTACTTAAGATTCACAGGAGGGGACAAACGGGAGGGAAGGACTTTCTAATCACTTACCGAAATATAGGAGTATGACCAGGCTTTGGTTTGTTCCAAGTAAAGTGCGAAGGAACAGAAAGAAATTGGTCTCCAGGCAAATCTTTTTTCAAGGTGTGCTGAGATCCAGAGCAGTCATCTACTGCAGTTTCAAGGGATGACAGTAAGTTCCCCTGTTCTTCAGGACAGATATCTATTTTTCCAGATAAAGTAGCAGTCTGATCCTCTGACGTCTTTCTTGTTTTTAAAGGAATATCAGTCTCTGTACAACACTGAAATGGTGAAAGGCCAGAATTAAGTCCTTGTACGTTATGGATGGAAGTGTTTAGCCAAGTGTCTTCTGTTATGCTTCCTCTGGGAGAATGGCCAGGTGACGGAGTTGGAGAATGGTGAGGAGAGAGAGAACCAGCATAGCATATCTCAGCACTGGAGTGTCGTCGCTTCCCACAGGGGGATGTAGGTCTTGATGAGGGCCTTGATGTTGGTCTAGGACTTAGCCAATTTTCATCTGTAATACTAGTTCTAGGAGAATGACAGGGAGACTGTCTAGGTGACAAAGCATGCCCAAATCCATAAGGCTGCTGCCAAGATTCATCACTGGGGCCTCTTGGAGAACCACCAGGGGATGCCAAGGGAGAGCCCAGGGTAAATCGAGCAGCTGCTTCATTTAGCTCCGAGTCTACATCATCATAAACGTGGGAAATGGATTCACAAGAGGAAGCATCTGAAAACCAACTTCTGGATGAAATGCTGCTGGCAGGGCTTGGACTAAGGGATGATTCCCTGTATGATGGCTCAAGAGGAAGATACAGATGGTCACGTGAAGGCCTTTCCATATATTCATTTTCTGTGCCATTTGCATGCAATTCATCTTCATTGGCTTCAATCCCTTGATGACAGTTAGGTGAAATAGATGTAATCTGAATACTAGGGCACTCAAATGGTTTGGGTCCACCTAGTGGACTATATTTGGATTCTGGTACCTCACAAGTTCCATCATAGTTCTTATGACTCTGAAGTCTTGTAGATGGTGAGAGAGGAGTGGAGTGAGACTGCAATCCATGGCGAGGAATACAAATTGGCTGATTTACAGAGGATGATGGTTGGTCTACATTAAAGATGTATATGGATGCGCAGTCATCTGACTCAAGATCTAAAAACAACATTAATAAAAAAAAAAGGAAGAGAATCAGAATGCATACAACATTGGAAAAGTGTTATAAACAAAACCCTTTGTTTCCCAGGTATTGCCTGCTTTAAACATCCTGGGCATTTCTCACCACACTAGCCACAAAAAATTAAGCTAACTCTTTCATTTTAAATTTTCCCCAGCTATATTCACAGCTAAATACGATTATGACATAGTTTGCTGTTATAAATCTTGTTTTCAACCAGATTCCAAAGCTTATATGCATCTTCAGTGGCTGAAAACATAATACACTCAGAAAAATCTTTAAATCTTTAAAATCTTGAAAATATCTAAGCTGGAACACTCAACTCAAACTTCCTATATCATAACTACATTCCATTCATAAATAAACATTTTCAATCCTAATCTATTAAAAAATAGTATTTTGGACATGAACAGGACTATGATACTTTCTGTAAGCTCACTAAGCAATACTTAAAAGCACCAGAATATCACATACGTAATATTTATCTCCGTTAACACCAGAAAGCATCTTACAGTGACTCAAACTTCAATGAAGACTACAAACATTCAACCAAAAGAGACCTAACAAAGAATGTTAATAAAGATATTATGAAGAATCTTACCCCAAAGATCTTTTTTTCTGTTGCTTAGAAACTCTCAAGTGCCAGTCCCACAGAATATCTTTTCTCAAGTGCAGTTTCATAAAGTTTGAGCACAAGTTCAGAAAAAAAAAAAAGGGCAAAACAAAATATTTGCAGATCTCACTAGCTTATCCAAATCACAGGAAATATTCCAAATTAAAACAAGCAATTGAAGGGAGTGCAAGTTCAGTTAACGTAAGCAGCAGCTTTGTCTCACAGAACCAAACCAGATTTTCATGCCCCACTTCTCAAGATTAACTTAACTGCTAGTATGAGGTGTATCTTTGAAACAAGAGTAGAAAACACAGTCTTCATCTTACTTTGTAACCACTACGCTTCCACCGCTGTTTCTTTCCCCTTGTAAAATACAGCCTTCCCTCTATAATTATAGAAAGTAACTATGAAGGAGACCTCTGGTAGTTCACTAGTCTATCATCTCTTAGAAGACGAAATTAAATGTTCTTGGCCCATCTCCATTAGACACTGAAACTAGCCTCAAAATCTGGTAACAACATTGTCTCTACAACCCAAGTAATTTGCCGAATCACTCTGAGAACTTTTGACCTATTTTTAACCCATTTAACTTCATCATTAAAACTATACAGTTTCTAATGTTTTGCATGTGGAACTTTACCTTTTAAAGTGAGTTGCTATTTTTTTTAGCAGCAGCAGAATATTATGCAGAAGCATAAATGTTTCTGCAAACTAAAATATTCCTGTGTCAAGTATGATGATGAAAAATCATCCAATTATTTTCTATAAATCCAGAATGGATGGCATTAATTGCATCTCAGGTATTACCTCTTTTTTTTTCTTTTTAAAATAGTTTTTACCCTGAGTATCTGTAGAATATTTAAAACAAATTAATCTCTCTCACAATCAGATAAAATATCCAGACAGGAAGCCATGTATTTCAGATCCTTCCATGACAAAAAAGTTAGTATGTTGATGAAGTTACTCTATTATCAGTTTCACTTCATAGCAATCAGATAAAAATTAACAGAAAAAAAAAAAAAGGAAAACAGCATCTCCTCAGAGACAACAAGGGAGCATTTGCAAATAGAGAGAAAGCGTATTGCTACCAGGGAATGACTATGTTCCTCAAAGAAAAATCTGATACAGGTTCATGGGCAGGGAACAGCTCTATGCGTAACCTATCTATTAAAGGAGGCACAAAACTGCATTCAAGACTAGTTTTATAAGCATTGTGTGGTTTTATATATGTTGCATATAGTCATATTTAACAATTATCCTTACTATATAATTATATCATTAGGTACGATGATACGTTTTAAGAGCACAGAAAATCAATATAGGTTAATTTCTAAATATGCATTCACTAAAAAGATCAGGATACTTAGGAAGGACTCTTTTGTGTACTGTATACTGAATAATCAACACAAGCTCACTACACTGAACACGACCAAAACTGCATTTCCCTATCCTTTCAGTAGGATAACAGGTTTTAAAACTTTAATTTGGAGTCTTTCATTTTGACATTTCCTATAACAAAACATGAAATGCAGATAGTAGTTACTTACAGGTTTTCTACATCTATCAGTATTTGTGTGCAAGATTACAAATGTTTCCTGACTCATTATTCCAGGGAATTACAGACCAGTCAGTCTTGCCTCTATGCCTGGGAAAATCTTGGAGCAGATTCTCCTGGAAGGAATGCTAAGGCACATGAAAAACAACAAGGCGATTGGTGACAGCCAGCATGGCTTCACTACGGGGAAATCCTGTCTGACCAATTTGGGGGCCTTCTGTGGTGGGGCTACAGAACTGATGGACAGGGGTAGAGCAGTTGATGTCATCTACCTGAAATTGTGCAAATCATTCGACACGACATCCCTGTCTCTAAATTGGAGAGACATCAATTTGATGGATGGACCACTGGGTGGATAAAGAACTGGCTGGATGGCCGCACACAAAGAGTTGTGGTCAATGGCTCAATGTCCAGATGGAGACCAGTAACGAGTGGTGTCCCTCAGGGATCAGTGTTGGAGCCGGTCTTGTTCAACATCTCTGTCACTGACATGGACAGTGGGATTGAGTGCGCCTCAGCAAGTTTGCCAACAACACCAAGCTGTGTGGTTCGGTTGATACCCTGGAGGGAAGGAATGCCATCCACAGGGACCTCAACACGCTTGTGAGGTGGGCTGATGCCAACCTCATGAAGTTTAACCATGCCAAGTGCAAGGTCCTACACCTGGGTGGGAGCAATGCCAGGCACAGCTGCAGGTTGGGCAAAGAAGAGATTCAGAGCAGCCCTGCGGAGAAGGACTTGGGGGTGTTGGTGGATGAGAAAATGAACATGAGCCGGCTTCAGTGTGCGCTCGCAGCCCAGAAAGCCAACTGTATCCTGGGCTGCATCAAAAGAAGCATGACCAGCAGGTCAAAGGAGGTGATCCTGCCCCTCTACTCTGCTCTTGTGAGACCTCACTTGGAGTATTGTGTGCAGTTCTGGTGTTCTCAACATACAAAGGACGTGGAACTGTTGGAACAAGTCCAGAGAAAGCCCATGAGGATGATCAGGGGACTGGAGCACCTCCCGTATGAAGACAGGCTGAGAAAGTTGGGGCTGTTCAGCCTGGAGAAGAGAAGGTTGTGTGGAGACCTCATAGCAGCCTTCCAGTATCTGAAGGGGGACTACAAGGATGCTTCATCAGAGACTGTAGTGGCAGAACAAGGGGTGATGGGTTTAAATTTAAACAGAGGAAGTTTAGATTGGCCATAAGGCAGAAGTTCTTTCCTGTTAGGGTGGTGAGGCACTGGAATGGGTTGCCCAGGGAGTTGTGAATGGTCCATTCCTGGCTGTGTTCAAGGCCAGGTTGGACGAAGCCTTGGGTGGCATGGTTTACTGTGAGGTGTCCCTGCCCATGGCGAGGGGGTTGGAACTAGATGATCTTAAGGTCCTTTCCAACCCTAACTATTGTATGATTCTATGATTAGAAGTAGAGGTCAAGGGACAAAAACGGTAACCCTAACAACAGCAATTATCCAGCTACTCAAAACTTAGAAATAAAATGGTTATGGCTACAGAAAATTTTAAATAATACTAAAAATCTGATAGGAAAACAACAGTTGGATATCTCCAAATCCTGTGCATAAAACCATTAACTGTCATTAATGGCTTCTGGAACAGTAGCAGCACATTGTGCTTAAACTCTCACCATTGCAAAGAGTCCTACCTCTCTTGCAGCAATATTGAAGAAATCTTAAAATATTTAAGACAATTTGTCCACTTTCAATGTCCCTGGGATTTACAAAAAGCAGATGTACATTAAAATTTTAAGTTTCACAGAGCTGAGGTGGAGAGATCAGACTAGCACAGAATTAATAGCAGCTGGGAAGAGCTGGGGAAGAGGTGGAAAAGGCAGGAGAGCGCTCTTTTGACTCAGGCTTCCTTGGTCCTTCTCCATGACAAAAAAGGTCTTATGAGTTTGGCACTGTGCTCGCCCATTACCTCTCCCCAACAGCATACACGCGCATACTCAAAAAACAGGAGGCTAGAGACCTAGGGTAAGAACTATGCATTTAATGAACACCAAATCCCAAAAGCATGCTTAAGATTGTGGAAACAGTATATTTGGAAGTCTAAATCATGCAAACCATTTTTAGACACGATCACCAAACAGGTAGACTTATTTCAGTTTGCACACACAAATCCTCCCCCTTACAGCCATGTGTTAAAATAACTTGTTAGTTGGTCATACAAAGGACAACACCAACTACTGTGACTTTTACAATTCATGTCATTCATTCATGACCATTTACCAATCACCATGTTTGCCCTTTTAAAGACTGCAAAGACAATTCAACCTGGAAGCACCCCGTAAGTAATCTGAAGGAACTACTGAACATACAAAGATAAATATGTTAGGTGAAAGAAATCAGGCAAAAACAAAACAAAACAAAACCCATACTAGCTGATAACCCGTAAAAGGGAAAGGAGTGAGAATAGCTCTTAAAAAATCCATCACAGGTCTTCAGGAAAGCAAAGAGTAAACAAATTCAGGCAAGTCTCACAATAGGCAAGGAGAAAAAACAGAGAAGCCCAAGGGAAAAAATGGAGTTATGGCGCTCTGGTTACTGAGCAGGATAGCCATTACATCCAAACAATCCTACTGGGTGAGTGAAGGCAGTAAAGAAGTCTAGTTGGCCAACACATGAGGCTTTCACTGACCATAAAATATAAGGGTTCAAGAAACTGAAACTAGGTCAGATTACTAAAGTAGAGCATAAAAACTACCACAAGCACATGGGGGCAAGATGCTAGATAGAACAGATACAGCAAAATACAAAGATCAAAGAAGCAGTACCATTCACATCAAAAGACTGCCATGACCCTGAAAA